CTGGGGTCAATCAGGGGGTTTGGAGGTTTCAGGGGGCAGTCAGGGAGGTTTAGGGGGATCGGAGTGTCTCGAGGTGTGTCAGGGAGTTTGCAGGGCCTCCGGGGGGGTTCTGGGGGTACTGGGGAGGGTTTGGGGGCACTCAGGGATTGGGGTTGTGGGTCCCCGGGGTACCTCCATGAGCAGTTTTAGGGCGCAGTCGTCCCGCACCCGCCCCTCGCGCCGTGCCTGCCCTGCCAGCGCCGCGAACCAGGCGCAGGGAACCCAGAACTTGTTGTAGGGAGAGCGCAGCCCCTCGAGCCGCCGCCGCTCCTCCCGCGTCAGGAACCCTGGGGGAGCCACAAAACCCCAATGTCACACCCAAAACAGCAACATCCCCCCTAAAACAGCAACGGCCCCCACCCGGGGAGCCACTGCCACTCCTCCCGCGTCAGGAACCCCGGGGAGATCACCAAAATCCCAATGTCACCCCTAAAATGGTGACATCGCGTCTGCCCTTGAGCTGGCATCACTCCTCCCATGTCAGGAGCCCTGGGGACACTCCCAACATCACCCCAAAAGCTGCCGTGTCACCACAGAAATGCCCCTCAGACACGGTGGTGTGACAATGCCACGATGTCACCCCCACAGTGTCCCTCCGACCACGCCACTGCTCCCACCACCTCAGTGCTGACATCATCCCCACCGATGACATCGCGGTGACATCGCAAGTCTTGATCAACCGTGATGATGTCTCTTGGCAGGAACTTTTTTTCTCTCCTCTCTTTTTCTCAGTGGTGGGGAAGTGCTTGGACACAGGGCTGTGACAGTGACCTGATGTCACCTCGCTGGGGTCCCCTCAACCCTCCCACTGCTCCCTCTGACCCATGACCCTCCCGGTACTTGTGTCACATGCTCTAATGACAACACAGTGACACTGTAATCCACTCACCGGCCTGCACCAGGTGGTCGGTGGTGGGGAATCTCTTGTAGACGGGGGTGCTGACGGCCCTGAGCACCAGCAGGGCCGCCAGGCCCCCGTAGCGCAGCAGCGTCCGGCGCAGGATCCGGCCCCGCGCGTCGGCCCCGTGGACGGACCCGGCCACGGCCACCATGAGCCCATCGGGGGCCGGCACCGCCCGGAACTGCCCCCACCAACGCTCCAGCACCAGCGCCACGTAGAACCCTGCAAACTGGGACTACTGGGGGTGCTGGGAGCAACGGGAGGGGTCATTGGGAGCACTGGGAAGGGGCACTGGGGAGAATGGGGGGTTCCCGGGGGGGTCTGGGACTCACGGGAGAGTTTGGGGTTCCCAGGGAGGTCCAGGGGGGGCATCCCTCACTGAGCACAAAGGACACGGGGATCATACTGGGGCATCTGTGGGGACACTGGTGGCCTGGGGGAGGTGTTTGGGGTCCCGGGGTGGTTTGGGGGTCCTAGAGGGGTTTGGGGGTCCCAGAGGGGTTTGGGGGTCCCAGAGAGGGTTCCAGGGAGGCCCCGGGGTGGGTCTCTCACCGAGCACAAAGGACACAGGGATCAGATCGGCCGATTTGTCGCAGTAGAGGACGAGCTTCTCGAAGAGCCTCCGCTGGGACTCCGAGAGCAGGAACCTTGGGGGGAAAGGGGGTAGGCCACTACCTGTCCCTGTCACCCCCCTGGACTCCTCCAACGGCCGGGAAACCCCCCGGGGATGCCCGAGTCCCCCCTCACAAGGTCCCTGTGACCCCCGTGCGCCTCACCCCGATGTCCCCGCGTGTCCCCGTACCCCCGGTCCCAAAGCTCTCCCTGCGCCCCCACCTGTCCCCACCGCATTCCCGGTGGCCCCACCCTTCCCGCGTCCTCCCCATGTACCCCCATGTCCCACAGTACAAAGTCCCATGTCCTTATGCTCCCATATGTCCCAACCCAATGCCCCACCCAGGTCCCCCTCTGTCCCCTCCGTGTCCCCCCATATCCCCCCCCATCTCCCTTGTGTCCCCACCCCCATGTCCCTCTCATGTCCCCCCATACAAAGTCCCATGTCTCTGTGCCCTCCACGTGTCCTATCCCGATGCCCCCTGTGTCCCCCCACTTCCTCCCTACCTGTAGGCAAGGCTGAGTCCCAGGTAGGCTCCGAGGAAGAGGAGCAGCTCCCGGTACAGGAGTTTGTAGATGCTCCCTCGCCAGAGCAGCAGCAGCTGCGAGAACCCCCCGAAACGCGCGGTGGCCACGCGGGACGTGTATGTCACCGTCATTGTCACCCAACACTGCGCAGGCACAGAAGGGGCACCGCAGGGGCACCTGTGGGCACTTGGGCACACCTGGGGACAGCCCCCCCCCCCGGGGGAGGGCGGGAAAAGGATTTAGGGGGACACTTGGGGGAAGCTGGGGACACAGGAGGCACCTGGGGGTGTTGGGGACACCAGGGGCGGGCACTCAGAGGGCATCTGGGGGCACCAGGGAACAGCCACAGCCCCGAGGGGCCGGGAAAAGGGACGCCTGGGGGGTGTTGGGGATGCAGGGAACACCTTGGGGACACAGTGGGGCACCTGCGGGGACACCGAAAGGACGTTGATACCTTGGGATCACCTTAGGATACCTTGGGAACACCCGGGAGGTATGAAAAACCCTCGGGGGGATACCTGGGGGGCGTTGGAGACCCAAGGAGGAGACCCTGGGGACACCGAAACCCACAGAGGAGACATTGAATCAACACCCAGGGGAGCTCCCCTGCCCTGGGGACCCACCATGTGGCCCCGCCACCCCCCAGGCCGGGCAGGGAACTCCCTGTCCCCCGTTCCCCCCACCCCCTGCTCCCTCCACCCTGTCCCCCGCCCTCACCTCTGAGTGGCCACAGCCGGTCTGGGGCCACCGGCCGATCCTGGCCCTTAAATCCTGCGGGGGCCAGGCCAGCCCTGAGAGGGTCCCCAGGAAGAGGGGGGGGAAGACACGCGTGTCCCAGTGGGGGGGGCGCGGGGAAGGGGGGGCGGCCCCCGGGTCCTGCCCAGAATCCCCCCGGGAGCGGCCGTGCTGGTCCGGCCAGTCCTGAGCCCCCTCCGCCCCTCCCTGGGGGGAAACTGAGGCCCGGGAGGGTGTTTTGGGGAGGGGGGCCCCTCCCGGCCCTCCCCCCCACGGATCTGGCTCTGTCCCCGTGGCCTCGGGCCAGCGCTGGGGGCGCAGGGACAGATCCCAGCAGGGCGTGGGGACACGGGGTAGGGAAGGGGATTCGGTCACGGGGACCCCCTCATCCCCCAAAGTGCTGCTGAGTCCCATTAAACCCCCCGGGACCCCAAATTGCCCCCCCGCAGGACCCCAAAATCCTTCCCGAGAACCCAAAATTGGCCCCCTCCTCCACAAAAATCCTCCCAGGGACCCCCTCTGGGCCCCCCCACCCCGTTAATCCGGTGCTAATGAGGGTCCCCCACGTCCCCCGGGAGCATGGCCAGCGATGCTGACGTCACCTCCCAAAATCCATCCGGACCTCATCCCCCCACAATCCAGAGGGACTCTCCATAAACCACCCAGAAATGGCCAAATCCATCTAGTTCCCCACCCAAATCCACCAGGGTCCTCACAGAATTCACCTGGACTCCCAAAATCCACTAGGATCCCCCCAAATTCCAGCCAGAAACCCTTCAAATCCACATGGACTCCCCTCAAATCCACCTGGCTCCTCCCCAAATTGATCCAGATTACCCCAAATCCATTCACACCCCCTAAAACCCATCTGAAACCCCCAAAAAGCAATTTGTTTCTGAAATTTATTTACATGATTTCCCCTGGGGGTATCACACCTTTGCCCTCCCCAAGTTGGGAGGGGAGGGAGGGGAACAGCACTGTCCCCGGGGGTGCGTTTTGGGGGGAGGGCAGAGCCCCACAGCCCCTCCTGGGGGAGATAAATAGGGACTGTTGTCCCAGCCGGGGTGTCAGGGGGGATCTTTTGGGGTTGGTAAAGCCCCAACAGGGCTGTGGGGGAGGGGTTATTTAGGGTTGGGGGCGCCCCCAGAAGTCTGGGGGGGCTATCTGGGGCTGGAGTCGGTAGAGGCTCCCCCAGGGGTCGAGGTGGGCTATTTGCGTCCCCCCAGGGTGTAGGGGCTTCTTTTGGGTTCCCCCCAAAAGTGTGGAGCAGTTATTTACGGTTCAGGCCTCCCCCTCCCAGGGAGTCACAAGGGGTTATTTGGGGCTGCGGAGCCAGTAGTGGCCCCCCAAAGGGGGCTATTTGGGCTCCTCTAGGGATGGGCAGGGTTATTTTGGCTTGAGGGCCCCCTTGGGGGTCTGGGGACGTTATTTGGGGCTGGGGACTGGTAGGGTCCCCCCAGGGGGTTTGGGGGGGGTGATAGAGGCTCCCCTCAGAGAAGTGTCTGTGTTATTTGGGGGTTGGTAGAAGCCCCCACAGAGATTCTTTTGGGTTGGACCCCCCCCCGGGTGACTGTGGGGGTTATTCAGGGTTGGAGGTCCCCCCTTGGGGGCCTGGGGGGGCTATTTGGGGCTGGGGGGCTGGTAGGGGTCCAGCAGGAGGGAGCTGAAGGTGTTGACCTTGTCTCCCCCCCGCACCTCGTGGGGCAGCAGCGGCAGCTTCACGATGTGGAAATCCTCGTACAGGTCCTCCATCTGTGGGTTGTGCACATGGGGGGGTCAAAAGGGACCCCCCCAACCCCCTCTGACCGCCCTAAACCCACTCTGACCCCCTCCATGCCTCCAGACCCCAAAACCCCCTAACCACCCCCTCTCCATCTTTACCATCTGGAAATGCTCATAACACATCCCTCCATCAGGCAGGAGGTGTCAGAGTGGGACCCCCCCTGCAAGGCCTCTCTGGCCCGCCAAATCCCCTCTGATCCACTCGGGACCTTGAAGGGGGTCCCAGACCCCAAGGTCCCCACTCAAGCACCTCCTCCCTTCCTGACCCAGGTATCTGGGCTCCCTAGACCCTCCATGCCTGCAGGTGACGGTTACCTGGTCCAGGTACTTGGCCAGGGGTGCCAAGGGATCCCCAAACTTGTCCCCCTGGCCTCTGGTGAGGTTACCTGTCCCCTGCCCCCCCAGGGGAGATCACCTGGTCCAGGTACTTGGCCTGGATCTTGTGCCGGGCCTCGCACATGCGGCACGGCCGCAGCGGGTCGGGGAACACGAGCTGGTTGACCACGATGTTGTGGGTGTCGATGCGGCATTTAGCCAGTTCCTGGATCAGCCGCTCGGTCTCGTACAGCGACAGGAACTCAGCGATGCACACGCAGATAAAGGTGGTCTGTTCCTGGGATAGGGACAGTGACACACGGACAGCGATGCACAGACAGTAACACAGAGACAGGGACGGGAACTCGGCGATGCGCACGCAGATAAACGCGGCCTGCTCGTAGGAACAAGGGACGACAGGGACAGTAATATGACTGCTGCCAGGGACAGAGACAGGGTCACGAACACAGCAACAGCGTGACATGGGGACACGGGACAAGGTGACACGGGGGCACAGGGACAGGCTCAGTGACAGACACAGCAACGAGACCTCAGTGATGCAAACACCGAGTCTGTTCCTGGGGACACAGACAGTGACAGAAGAACAGGGTGACCTAAGCACGCAGTGACACAGGCTCAGGATGGCATTGGTCACATGGACATAGTGACACAGTGACACCGATGACAAGGACACAGTGACATGGAAACCCATTGAAATGGTGACACAGCACCCAGAGACACGGGGACACGCTGACACGCATAGTAATAAGGGATATGGAAACGTGGGGACACACTGACATGGCACTCAGAGACACGGGGACACACGCAGCGTTCACCTTCACGTTCCCCCTGCGGTCCCAGCCACCCACACGGCCTCGAGGGGTCGTTGTCCCTGAGCCCATCCCATCCCTGCCCTGGGGAGTCCCTTGTCCTCATTCCTGTCCCTGCCTGTCTTTGGGGGGTTTATTGCCCTCAGGAATGTGCCCCAACTCGCCTGTCCCCATCCCTGTCCCCATCCCTGTCCCCACCCTCCTCCCTGGCATTCCATTCCCCCAACTCCCCTGCAGCCCCTGGGCCCCCCCAAGCCCCCCCAGCTTCCCCCAAGGACCCTCCCCAGCCCCCCACCCAGGCCCTTGAACCTCTCATTGACACAGCAGATCATGGGCACTGTCCTTCTTCCCTCCCTGGCATCCCACCGCCCCTAGATCCACTGTGCCCCTCTGTGCCCTCCTGGGAACCCCTGAGACCCCCCAGGACCCCCCCAAGCCCCCCTGCCCAGCCCCCCCGCCGCCTCACCGGGTCCTTGAACTGCTCGCTGACGGAGCGGATCACGGGCAGGGTCTCCTCCAGTTTGGAGGCCAATTGGTCAGCGTTCATGTCCCCCAACCCCAGCATGTTACACATCTGGGGGAGGGCACAGCTGTGAGATCCCCCACAACCTCCCCCACCTCCAGCTGGGGGGACCCCAGACACGCCAGACCCACATCCCAGTTGGGGGGGACCCCAGACATTCTAAACTCACCCCCACAGCTCCAGACCCCCTAACACCTCCCCACTCCACCCTAGGCTGGTGACACCCCAATACCTCCCCCCAGGCTGGTGGTGACACCCCAGACCCTCAAACCCACCCCCTCACCTGGGCAGGACCCCAGACCTCTTTGGGACCCCCCTCAGGCCCCCACTGGGAGATGAAGAGGCTGATCTGATCCGGTTCTTGATCTGCGTGAGTCGGCCCAGCCCCCACTCCCGGTACCCCAAAACCCAACCCCCTCAGCTTGGGGAGACCAGACCCCCTGGGACCCCCCTCAGGCCCCCACCTGGGAAATGAAGGGGCTGATCTGGTTCTTGATCTGCATTAGCCGGCCCAGTCCCCGCTCCACGATGGTGGGGAAGTTGAGCAGCCGCAAGGTGTGCCCCGTGGGGGCTGTGTCAAAGACCACCACGGAGAAATTCATCCCCTTCACCAGTCTGGGGGGTTGGGAGGGGTCAGCAGAGCTGACTCCCCCCTGCTCAGCCCCTTCCTGGGGAGCCAGGGGGGCCTGGACCCCCCCTCAGCCCTGGGGGGCAAATTAGTGAGGCCAGGACTGCCCCAAAGCCCCCCACCTCCTCACCTCATGACCTCGGCATAGCTCATGGCCTCATCGATGCCAGGGAAGGCGCTCATGGCTTCCTGCATCATCTTCTTGCCCATACTCAGCACGTTGTCCTCCTCAAAGAACTCATCGGGCAGCTCGGCCACCCCCAGGCTGGGGTCGATCTCCTGTTCAGAGGCGGATCAGCAATGCCCGGGGACCCCCAAAACCCTCTCAAACTGATCCAGAAACCCACCCAAAACAGTCCAAACATCTGCTACAAAACCTTCCAAAAACCATCCCAAAAATTCCCCCGACACCTCCCCAAAACCCCTCAGGCATCTCACGCACCTCTGCGTTAGGGTCGATCTCACGTGAACGAGACGGTCAGCACTGCCCAGGGACACCCTACACCCCCCTCAAAACGCCCCCGACACCCCCTAAACCCCCCATGGGGGACCTACCATGGCAAAGAGATTGTCATAGCCCTTGACTTTGGTGGGCACCTTGGAGAATTTCTGGTCAAAGGCGTCTGAGATGTTGTGAGCAGGGTCGGTAGAGATGATCAGGACACTCTCCCTGACCCGGGACAACTGCACAGCCAGGCTGCAGCTGGAACAGGAACCGGGAGGCTTGCGGGGCTGTGTGTGTGACCCCCTGGTTGTGTTCTGATGCCCCCCATCCTATCCCAGTCTCCTCCAATCTGTCCTGCTGCTCCCAGTCCATCCCAATCCCCCCAATCCATTCTGATCACCTCCAAGCCCAGTTCCCTGTCTCATCCCATCCCAATATCCCCCTCCCATCCCGTTCCTGGTCCCCATTGTCCCCATCTTCCCCCTTCTGGTCCTGCCCACTCCCTGTCCCAATCCCCACCACTCTCCCTGGGTCCTGTTTCCCCCGGTATCTCCCGTTCCCCCCACCCCAACCCAATCCCCCCAGGCCATCCTGATTCCTCTATGTCTGCCCGATTCCCCATTTCTCCCTGTTCCCCCGTCCCAATCCTCCACACTCCACCGCAATTCCCCCCACTCTGTCCAGTCCTCCCCAATATGTCCTAACCGCCCCATCCCATCCCGGCCCATCCCGATTCCCTCGCGGGCTGTCCGGTACTACCTCGACCCGATCCCCTTGACGCTCCCCGGTCCCGATCTCTCCCAGTCCATCCCGATCCCCTGATCTGTCCCGTTCGCCCCTATCCCACCCCATCCCGTTTCCCCCCGGTTCCCGTCCTTGTTACCGTTCCCCGCCCCCCCCTCACCTGCACGTCGTCTTCCCCACTCCGCCCTTCCCGCCCACAAAGATCCACTTAAGGCTGCGCTGCTCGATGATATTCGCTAGGGTCGGCTCCAGCGGCTCCACGTCGGGCGCGTCCTCGAACTCCTCGGGCCCCTCGGCCGCCCACCCTCCTCCTCCTCCTCCTCCTCCTCCCGCCGCCGCCGCCGCCATCTTCCCCACGGCACCGCCCACCGCGCGCTGGTTGGTTGCCACCACGCCCCGCCCACCCTTTCTTTCTTATCCATTGGTCTTCTCGACCGTCAATCCCTCGCGGAAGGCGGAGGGCAGCGCCGAGCGCTCCGCGCGTTGCCCGGCAACGTGACGCCATCACCGCGCGCCGGTCGCGCTGACATCACTGTGGCGCGCCAGTGGCGGCGGCGGCGGAGGGGGGGACAAGATGGCGGCGCGCGGCGAGGACCGGGAGGGCCCCGAGGCCGCGGAGGGCCCCGAGGCGCCTTCGCCGCCCCCGCCGGGTCCTGGCGGTGGCGTCAACGTGTTCGCCAACGACGGCAGCTTCCTGGAGCTCTTCAAGCGCAAGATGGAGGCGGAGGAGCAGCAGCAGCGCGAACGCGAGGCGGCGGCGGCGGCGGCCGGTGATGGCGGCGGCACCACCGGGAGCGGCGGGCCCGGCGCGCAGCGAGGGGGGGACGGGGCGAAGAGGAGCGGCGGAGCGCTCGGCTTTGTAAGGAAGAGGGGGCGCGGGGAGTAACGGCACCGGGGAAACCGGCCCCGAGGAGATCGAGGAGCCGCTGACGGGGGGTCCCCGGGAGGTGCTCGCGGAGGCTCCTCGGTGTCTTCCCGGTGCCGTCCCCGGGGTCCTCCTCGGTCCCGGTCCCCCCTCGCTGTCCCTTTTCCACCCCGTTCTGGGTGCTCTCAGGGCAGTTTTGATCCCCGTTTTCCCTCCCCCCGGGTCCAATGCTGCCCCCCCCCGGGGGTCCCTGTGTCCCCCCGCAGTTTCGGTGACGGGGTGGGTATGTCCACCCCTAGGTGGGGCGGCGGAGGGGGGGCAACAAACTGGCCCTGAAAACAGGAGTGGTGGCCAAGAAACAGAAGACTGACGAGGAGGTGGGTCCTGGGGCTGGTCTGGGGGGGATTGGAGGGGGGCTGGGGGTCCTGGGGGGAGCTTGAGGGGGTTTGGGGAGGTGTATTAGGGTTTCTGGGCGGGGGAACGGGGACTGGAGGTCCTGGGAGGGGAACTGGGAAGATCAAGGGAGGTAAGGGATGTGTTGGGGGTCCCCTAAGGGGGTAAAAGATGGTTCCATTGGGGATCCTGGGGAGGGGAATTGAGCGTCCCGGGGGAAATTCGGGGGTTCTGGGTGGGGATGGGAGGGCCAGGGGAGTGAATGGGGGGTCCCAGGAGGGGTGCTGGCAGGGAATTGGGGGGGTCCTGGAGTGAAACTTGCTCTCTTTAGAGGGAGAATTGGGGCTCCCGGGGTGAAGGGGAAATTGAGGGTCCTGGGGGAAGAAATTGGTCCCCAAGGGGTGGGACAGGGGGCCCATGTCCCCCCTGGATTTTTGGGATGACCGAGGGGGGTTTTGGGGCAGGTGCTGACGAGTAAAGGCGACGCCTGGGCCAAGTACCTGGCGGAGGTGCAGAAGTACAAAGCCCACCAGTGCAGCGACGACGACAAGACACGGCCCCTGGTCAAATAGCGCCGGCCCCCCCCCAAAATCACCCCGGGGTGGGGGGGGCCTGGCACTCCCCAAAAAATGGTCAAATAGCACCAGCTCCTCCCCAAACAAATCTTCCCAGGGGAATGTCCTGTGACCCCCAGAAAACTGGTCAAATAGCACTGGTGTCTACCCCTCTAAAAAAAAAAACCTGCCCAGGGGAATCAGGAGTCCTGGAACCCCCCGAATCCCTGGTCAAATAGCGCTGCCCCCTCTCCCCTCCAAATAACCTGCCTAGGGGTGGGGGATCCTGGGACTCCAAGACAAATGGTGACATAGCGCCAGACCACCCCCCAAAAAACCTGAGTGAGGGGAGGTCCCAGACCCCTAGAAAACCGGTCAAATAACATTGGTCCTCCACCCCAAAAACTGCTCTGAGGTGGTCCCAGCCCCCAAAAAAGCTTCCTGGGGAGGTTCAGACCCCCACAATACCTGGTCACATAGTGCCACCCCACCCTCCACCCCTCTTCCAAAGACCTACCAGGGGGGTCCTGGGATCCACAAAAATCCCTGGTCAGATAGCACCACCATGCTCTCCAAAATTACCTGGGTGAGGGGAGTCCTGTCTCCAAAAAAGTGGTCAAATAGCACTGGCCCCCCCTACCCCCAAAAGCTGACTTGGGGGGCTCTAGGGACCCCCCAAATACTTGTCCAGGGTGGGGGGTTCTACCTTTGGCCTCCTCAAACACCTATTTAAGGGGGGGAGGCACTGGCCCTGCCTCTTTTCTACATCCCCCTTCCACCCTCCAGGGCCACCTCCTCCCCCCAAACCTGGACTTGAGTCTGGGGGCGGCCTTGGTGCTGCCCATCCCCCTCCACCCACTCCCTCCCCCCCTGCTGCATTTTGGGGGCAAATTGGGGATTTTGGGGCGGGGGGGGGAGCGGCGCAGAATTAAAGAACTCGGAGGTTTCAGAGGTGCTGAGACGTTTTTGAGGATCTTCTGGGATTTGAGGAAGGGGCTCCACTCTTGTTTGGGGGGGCAGGCAGTTTTTGAGGGCTCCTGGGATTTGGGGAGGGGAGAGGAGAGAGGCTTTGCCCAGGTAGCACTGATTCATAACTTTATGACCTCAATATCCACAGAACAGTGGGCCCAGCTCTCAAGCCAGGCCCCTCCCTGCTCATGCCCCCCGCAGCTCCTTCGGCCCCAAGGAATAATCCTGCCTCGGGGGCTTTTCCGGCCTGACTCGGGAATTCTTTTCATGAGCACTGATCTCTGCTCTGGCTCACTCAGGATCACAATGTTTTTACTTTAGTAGTTTCTTTTTCTTTTTATCATCTGGGTGGCTGGTGTTCTCTGTCTGGCTGCTCCTACAGAGGGGCATCTTGCTTTTGCAGGGCTCCTGAGATTTGCCACCTTCCCCCAAGTGCTGAATTTTCACCGGGTTTGCCCTTTTTAACCCCAGTAAAATTTAAGGGGTGGGGGGAGGAAAAGGTCAGGCACGGCCAGTTCCCTCTCTCAGAGCCCCCTGACCGCCTTCCCAATTCCAGTCCCAGGCCTCCAGTTCCCTACGAACCCTATCCTAGTCACCCCAGTTTCCCTGAACCCAATCCCCCCCGAATCCTCCCAGTTACTCCTAATTCTCCCTAACTTCCAGTTCCCCCTGCCTCCCCTCCCAGTCCCCTCTGAATCCTTCCCGGTTGGTTCCCTGAGGTCCCCCCACCCGTCGCCGCTCGCGGGGGTGGTGGGGGGCAGAGGGGGTCCGTCTTCCCCCGTTTCCCCGGCAATGCTCTGTCTCGCGCGCGCTGCACGCCGGGACTTGTAGTTCATCCTCAGTCTCGAGAACTCTGCGCACGCGCTCTTTGACTCCGCCCGTTCCTCAATTTGGCCTCGCCCCTTCCTGGCCTGGCCTCGCCCCTGGCGCACGTGACGCGGACGGTGGCCCGCGGGGGTCACGGGGGGCAGCGCCGAGACCCCCCCCCGGCCGCGCTCCGACAACCCACCCCCGGCACCGAGACCCCCCCTGGGCCCCCCGGGCACCGGGCCCCCCCTCGAGCAGGTACCAGCAGTGTGGGAGCGGCGGGAAATGGCGCGAGGGGCCTGGGGACGAATGGGGCGTCCCTGGGGCGGATCGGGAATCCTGGCGGGGGATGAAGGTCTCTAGAGGGGGTGAAAAGGGGGTTCGGAGGTAGATTCGGGGTCCTGGGAAAGGGAGGGGAATTGGGATGGGGAACTGTGGGTCCTGGCGAGGCTTGGGGCTCTTGAAAGCGGTGAGAAGGGGGTTCGGGGGAAGAATTGGAGGGTTTCGAGGAGCAGAAAAAGAAGACGAGGGGGGAATCGGGGTCCCGGGGGAGGCAGTGGGGGATCTCGAGGAGGTTGAAAAGGGGGCTCGGGGGCAGTGAGGAGCTGGGGGTGGGGGTTATGGGGAATCCCGCAGGGGATCGGGGATTCGAGGGCAGAATTGGGGTCCCGGTGGGGGCAGCGAGATGGAGAGAGTGAGGGGTGGGTTTAGCCCGAGAGAACACTAGGGGGGGACACCCCCGCTCCCCCCCTCCCGTTTCCTCCCGCCATTCCCGGTCCCACGTGCGCGGCCCGCGGGCCCCTCCCCCGCTCCCTCCTTCTCTTTGGGGGGTCCCCACAGCCCCTTCCCCGCTCCCCCGATACCGAGTCCATCGCGGGTAGCTCCAGGACCCCCCTTGTCCCTAGCTCCACTCCCCTCTCCCCCTAGTGATTCAAGGACTGCACCCCTTCCCCGTTTGCTGCCTCCGGGACCCCCGAGGACACCCCCGAGACCCCCCCAAGACCCTCGAGGAGCACCCCCCGGGCCGGCCATGGACTGGCAGCCGGACGAGCAGGGGCTGCAGCAGGTCCTGCAGCTGCTCAAGGACTCGCAGTCGCCCAACACGGCAACACAGCGCGTGGTGCAGGATGTATCCTCTCCTGGGGGCGTCTGGGGGGCTCTAGGACCACCGGGGAGGGAAGATGTGACCTCCCAGATGGGTGGGGGGGAGGTGGATGGGGGTCCCTTCTTCCCCCCCCAACTCTGTCCCTATGTGCTCTTTGCCTTTGCTGTTATCACTTGGTATGTCTCCCTATGTCTGTAACGCCCCTGTCCCTCTCCCCATTATTGTCCCTTCATTCCTGTGTCCCGTCCCCCTTATGAACCCCCATCCTTGTCACGGTTTCCATGTCCCTCTCCTTGTTCCTGTGAGCCACCCCCCTGCGAAGCCTCTCCAGCCCTGTGTCCTGTTCCTGTACCCCTTCCTCCCTCCTGACTCCCCCCCAGAAGTCCTGTCCCATCCCGCTAGGTCCTAGTGTCTCCCCTATTCCTGCCAAAATGTCTCCTTAACACCTCCCCAGAAACTGAAGCAGCTCAACCAGTTCCCCGATTTCAACAATTACCTGATTTTCGTCCTCACGCGCCTCAAGTCCGAAGGTGGGAAGGCTGGGGGAGTGTCTGGGGGTGGGGCAGAGGTGATTGGGGGTGTCTAAGGGGACAGGGGGTCCTGGAGAGGGTGATGGGTATTGGGGGAGGGGAGGGCAAATCCATTTGGGGGCCATCGGAGCCGTTTGGGGGGCACGGGGGGGGGTGTGAATTTAGTCCCTGTGGCCCCTGTCTCCCGGCGCCTCCAAACCTTTGTATTTGCCCTGCCAGGACAAGCCATTTGGGGGCCATCAGAGCCATTTAGGGGATATTGGAGCCTTTTGGATAGTACCAGCTTGGGATTTGTGGTCTATGGCCCCCACGTGACTCCCCACCCCCCCCCCAGATGAGTCACTTCAGAGGTGTCAGAGGTATTTGGGGGATGGCAGGGACTATTTAAAGGGTGATAGTTGTATTTTGATACCATTGGAGCTGTTTGGGGGGGCTGACACAGATATTTGGGGGCTATTGGAGCCCTCTGGGTGGCACCAGGGTGGGCTTTACCCCCACGGTGCCCCCAAGTCCCCTTTCGCCCCCCCTAGACGAGCCCACGCGCTCCCTGAGCGGCCTCATCCTGAAGAACAATGTGAAGGCACATTTCCAGAGCTTCCCGCCACCTGTGGCCGAGTTCATCAAACAGGAGTGTCTGAACCACCTGGGCGACAACTCCTCCCTCATCCGGGCCACCATCGGTGAGTAGGGGGCCAGGAGACCCCCAGGGAATCCCCACCCCCCCAAAAAAATTTACCTTTCTCTGTTTTTCAGGCATCTTGATCACCACCATCGCCTCCAAAGGGGAGCTACAGATGTGGCCAGAGCTGCTGCCTCAGCTCTGCAACCTTCTCAACTCTGAGGATTACAACACCTGCGAGGTGTGGGGGGCACCTGGGGGCACCTGGGTGGGCATGGCAGGGGCTGACACCCCCTTCCCTGATTTGCTGTGCCCAGGGGGCTTTTGGGGCCCTGCAGAAGATTTGCGAGGATTCCTCAGAGTTGCTGGACAGTGACGCCCTGAACAGGCCCCTTAATGTCATGATCCCGAAATTCCTGCAGTTCTTCAAGCACTGCAGCCCCAAGATCAGGTACAGGGGGACAGGTGGGACTCTGTGATCAGGTGTGGGCGGTTTCCAGTTTTTCAGGCACTGTAGCTCTAAAATCAGCTGCAGGGAAGGCACTTGTACCCCAGTGTCGCTCCATGTGTCTCCCCCAAATTCAGCACTGAGAGTTCAGCTGGGTTTGGGGCGTTTTGAGGGGGAGCAGCTGAGTTCAGGGGTGTTCAGGAGTGTTTGGGGGATTCACGTGAGTTTGGGGGTGTCCAGGTGCCACCTCCAACCCCCATAATGCCCCCAAATCCCCCTGTGCAGGTCTCACGCCATCGCCTGTGTGAACCAGTTCATCATGGACCGGGCGCAGGCGCTGATGGAGAACATCGACACCTTCATTGAGGTCAGGAGGGGCCAGGGGGCGATCGTGGGGCTCTGGGGGCGGCCAGGGGAGCTCACCTGTGGCCCCCGATCCCCCCAGCACCTATTTGCCCTGGCTGTGGATGAGGATCCCGAGGTGAGGAAGAACGTGTGTCGGGCGCTAGTGATGCTGCTGGAGGTGAGGATCGACCGCCTGCTGCCCCACATGTACAGCATCATCCAGGTGAGGGCTTGGGTGGGTTTGGGGTGCAAAGGGAGGGATAATTTAGGAGGATGTGAAGGTTGTTTGAGAGGAATGGTTTGGGGGGCAGGTGGGGGGACCCTGTGCCCCGGGGGGGGTCTCACCTGCCCCTCTCCACCCCACAGTACATGCTGCAGAGGACCCAGGACAGTGACGAGAATGTAGCCCTGGAGGCCTGTGAGTTCTGGCTGACGCTGGCAGAGCAGCCCATCTGCAAGGACGTGCTGACAGCACACCTGGTGCAGTAAGTGACCTGAAAAACATACCCTGAGATGCCTCAAAGACATCCCAGAAACCCCCCAAATCTCCCCCAAGCCCTGCCTGACCCTCCCATGCTCTACCCAGGCTGATCCCAATCCTGGTGCATGGGATGAGATACTCAGAGATCGACATCATCCTGCTCAAGGTGGGCACTGAGAGGGAGCACTGGTGTCACTGAGGGCTGTATTGGTGTAACTGGGAGGACTGGGAGGGGGCACTGGAATTCCTGGGAGCCGTACTGGTGTCATTGGGAGGCCCTCAGCTCCTGGAGGTGATGACATTCCTGGACTGAGCCCTGTGATGGGTGTTGTGTTCGTACTGTCTGATCCGGGGGTGGGGGCCCCGGGGGGCCCCGTGTCGCGACAAACGATGTCACGTTGCGATACGACGACGTCGCGTTGTGATACCCCCCCCAGGGGGATGTGGAGGAGGATGAGGCTGTCCCGGACAGTGAGCAGGACATCAAGCCGCGGTTCCACAAGTCCCGCACGGTGACGTTGGCACACGAGGAGCAGCGGGGCGGGGATGGCGACGGGGATGGCGATGATGAGGACGATGACGAGACCCTGTCAGACTGGAACCTGCGTAAGGGGGGCTGGGCAAGTGCTTGGGGGGTCTGTGAGGGTCCAGGGGGGTGATTAATCCCCTCACCCGTGCCCAGGTAAGTGCTCGGCCGCCGCCCTGGACGTTCTGGCCAATGTGTTCCGGGAGGAGCTGCTGCCCCACCTGCTGCCGTTGCTCAAGGAGCTGCTGTTCCACCTGGAGTGGGTGGTCAAGGAGTCAGGAATCCTGGTCCTGGGGGCCATCGCTGAAGGTGACCCCCCAAAATGATACCTGTGGGGAGCCTGGGTACTTACTGGGGGTGTCTCTGACCCACCCTGTCCCCCCAGGCTGCATGCAGGGCATGGTGCCGTACCTGCCCGAGCTGGTGCCGCACCTGATCCGGTGCCTGGCGGACAGGAAGGCCCTGGTTCGCTCCATCGCCTGCTGGACCCTGAGCCGTTACGCCCACTGGGTGGTCGCACAGCCCCCCGAGCTCTACCTGAAGCCGCTCATGACAGAGCTGCTCCAGCGTATCCTTGACAGCAACAAACGGGTGCAGGAGGCGGCCTGCAGGTGAGACTGGGGGGACTGGGACAGCGGAGCCTTGGGGGGCACCGGGGACGAACACGGGGTGTGGCAGGGAAGAGGGCAGGTGGGGTGACAGGTGAGACTGGGGGGCCTGGGGGTGATTTGGGCCCAGGCATGGGTGGGTTTGGACCCCGGAGGATGATGACATCTCCGTCACCGACTCCCGTGACGACGGCGAGATTCGTACTGTCTGACCCGGGGTGGGGGGGTTCCCCCGGTTCTGGGGTTCCTGAGGGGTGTTTGGGGGCTCCCTGACCCCTTTTTGGGGTCCCCCAGTGCGTTTGCCACTCTGGAGGAGGAGGCCTGCACAGAGCTGGTGCCATACCTGAGCTTCATCCTGGACACGCTGGTCTTCGCCTTTGGGAAGTACCAGCACAAGAACCTGCTCATCCTCTACGACGCCATCGGCACCTTGGCTGACTCTGTGGGCCACCACCTCAACCAGCCGGTGGGTCTCAGGGCTCCCGGTGCCCTCCAAACCCCCAGCCCGTTCCCAGTGATGACGTGACATTCGAATCCCGAACTCCCGGTGTGGATCTCTTTGCTCTGAGGGTCTCAGGGCTGGGGGGGGCCTTCCCCCCACATCCCCCCATATGTCCCCCTGGGTGTCCCCCCATTCATGTGACCCTCCCTGGCCTCAGGAGTACATCCAGAAGCTGATGCCACCACTCATCCAGAAGTGGAACGAGCTCAAGGACGAAGACAAGGACCTTTTCCCACTGCTGGAGGTGTGTTTGGGGGGGGGAACCTTGGGGTCTGGAGGGTCCCCAGGGCTGTTTTGAGGAGGAGGGGGTACCTCGTTTTGGGGGGATGTGGAGAGCGGGGGGGATGGGGTCTGCCCCTGAGCTGGGAGGGAACAGGGACTGGAACCTCCCTTTGGGGGGTTTCTTTGGCTCCAGCCAAAACTGGGGGGATCCCCCAAGTCGAGGGACATACACACCTTGTTTTGGGTGGGGGGGCTGCCTGACCTGTTTCATGGTGTCCCCCCAGTGCCTGTCCTCCGTGGCCACGGCCCTGCAGAGTGGGTTTCTGCCCTACTGCGAGCCCGTGTACCAGCGCTGCGTCACCCTGGTTCAGAAAACCCTCGCCCAGGCCATGGTGAGCCCCCTCTAGTGGCATTTTGGGGACCCCCAAGGGGGTGCTGGTGTTCACCCTGTGGTGCCGACCCCTCCTTGCCCACCCTAGATGTACAACCAGCACCCTGAGCAATACGAAGCCCCCGACAAGGATTTTATGATCGTGGCCCTGGACCTGTTGAGTGGCCTTGCCGAGGGGCTCGGTGGCCACGTGGAGCAGCTGGTGGCCCGTTCCAACATCATGACGCTGCTTTTCCAGTGCATGCAGGTGAGGGGGGACCCCCCACGACCCCCAAATGCCTCTGGGGGGCACCAGGACCCCCCCCAAACTCCCCTTGTCCCCACAGGACACGATGCCCGAGGTGCGGCAAAGCTCCTTCGCCCTCCTGGGCGACCTCACCAAGGCCTGTTTTGTGCATGTCAAGCCCTGTATCGGTGGGTTCTGGGCGTCCTCAAGGGGGGAGACACCTCCAAAGCTGAGGGAGGGGTTTCTGGGCTCACCTGTGTCCCCCTCCCCAGCTGAATTCATGCCTATCCTCGGCACCAACCTGAACCCTGAGTTCATCTCCGTCTGCAACAACGCGACCTGGGCCATTGGGGAGATCTGCATGCAGATGGGTGAGACCCACCAAAAACCCATCTGAGACCCCCCCCCAAAACTAACCTGAACCTCCCCCAGCCCCCCCCAAACCTCACCTGACCACCCCCCCTTGCTTTTCCCACCCAGGAGCAGAAATGCAACCCTACGTGCAGATGGTCCTCACCAACCTCGTGGAGATCATCAACCGCCCCAACACCCCCAAAACCCTCCTGGAGAACACGGGTGAGGGCTGGGGGAGCACAGAGGGACCCCCCCAACCTATTGGGTGCTAAGGACTCTCCCCCAAAATCCTCAAGCCCTCTGAAACTCTCCCCTAAAATCCTCGAGCCCTCCTAAATCCTCGATCTCTCCCCCCAGCCATCACCATCGGGCGCCTTGGCTTTGTGTGCCCTCAGGAGGTGGCCCCGATGCTGCAGCAGTTTATCCGGCCTTGGTGAGTTTGGGGGGCTTTTAGGGGTCCCTAACGCCCCCCAGAATTTCAGGGTGGGAGGTGCTGAACCTCAGTTTTCCCCCATAAGGTGCACTTCGCTCCGGAACATTCGCGACAACGAGGAGAAGGACTCGGCTTTCCGGGGGATCTGTGTCATGATCGGGGTGAACCCCGGGGGGGTTGTGCAGGTGAGGGATCCTCGGGGCCTTGGGTGGTCCCCAGAGGTGTTTTGAGTGGTGGGTGCCTCATCTGGGAGGCCCTGGAGAGCACAGGGGGGCTGGGGGCTCCCCCTGAGCTGGGGGTGAGCAGGAACCCAAACCCTTTTGATGGGGTGATTTTTGCAAGGTCCCCTTGGCTCCAGCCAAAACTTGGGGGGGAAAGAGGGGGCCAGAGGGGAGGAAGGGGCTTCTGTGTCTCCCCACTTCACCCTACCGTTGGTGTGTGTGTCACCCTTTAATTTGTCCCCATTTTGCTGCCCCACCCTCCCAAATTCCCCACCCCCCAGGATTTCATCTTCTTCTGCGATGCTGTCGCATCCTGGGTGAGCCCTAAGGATGACCTGAGGGACATGTTTTACAAGGTATCCGCGGCCCAGGGCGGGATCTGAGGACCCCTCCATTTTGGGGGGGTTCAGCAGGGCTCTTATCTTTATTTGTAACACCCCCTCGAAGATCCTGCATGGCTTCAAGGCCCAGGTGGGTGAGGAGAACTGGCAGCAGTTTTCGGAGCAGTTCCCCCCCCTTCTCAAGGACCGACTGGCAGCGTTTTATGGGGTCTGAGCCAGGGGGAGACCCCTTAAGCAGGTGTGTGAGGGGGCCCAGCATTCTCAAAAATGGGGGAGGCACAGCCACAACCCCCCTGGGGTGTGCAGACCCCCACCCCCCAATCTCTGCTCTCCTCCCTCAGGTCGGCACCAGGACCCCCAAGGGGACACGGCCGAGGGACCCCAGGGGGGGGCGGGAGTGGGGTCCCCCCCCACCACAGCCCCCGGGGAGGGTCCGGGGGGGGTTCTGAGAGTGGTTTGACCCCCCCCAGGGGAGGATAAAGGGAGGGGGGGCTGCGGGTGGGGCCGCAGGGGTTGGGGGGGCCCGCGGCGGGTGGGAGCCCTAAAACCTCGGGAGGGACCCTTAAACCCTTGGGAGGGTCAAAAATCGGGGATAAGGGGTCCCAAAACCCAGGGAGGGCCCCTAAAACTTGAGGGGGCTCTAAACCATGGGGGGACCCCCAAACCCTAGGGAAGGTCCAAAAAGGGGGGGGGTCCCTGTTTCCTTGGGGGGGACCCATAACCCTGCAGGGAAAACAAAAATCGGGGCCGAAGGGTCCCAGAATTCTGGGGGGGACCCCCCAAAACCTTGGGGAGAGGAGGCCAAAACCCGGGGGGGGTACCCCAAACCTTGGGGAGGGCCCAAAACTCTTGGGAGGGTCAAAAATCAGGGCTGAAGGGTCCAAAAAGGGGGGTCCCAGTTTCCCTGGTGGGAGGGGGCCCCAAAAGCCCTTGGGAGGGTCACAAATTGGGGCTGAAGGGTCCCAAAATCCGGGGGGGGGGGGG